TTCAGAAGTGAGCAAGAGCCCCTACTGAGGCATCGACGGGAAGTACACACAATTGCTCATTGGCTACCTTCCTCCCCGGAGCAGAGCTAGAGAATGGTTGGAGCCCTGGTTTTGCCCGCCCCTCCCTGCCCAGCTGGCTGAGCCGGCATGGGACTGGGAAGTGAGAGCGTCACTGGTGCTGAGAGAGCCAGCCGTCGATTAGAACTCCTTGGTAATGGACAGAGAAGATAGCTCCCCAGGCCTGTGTCTCCCGCCTTGCCTATGTGTGCTGCTTCAGTGGGCCAGCCTTTTCCCCTGGGTTGAACCCTACCATGTTACCCTGGTGTCAATTAAAATTCGGTTGATTGAGCTTCAGATGATTAGGAGCAGGGTTAACCACAATAAGCCAACTTTAATCAGAATCAAGCGCATCTGCAATGGGTTTAAATACAGGGCCAAGTAGACAAGACTGCAGAGTTCTGAGATGAGCTTAGGCATCACCCTTTGCTAGGGATGCCAGGTGTCCGTTATTTCTGGGCCCTGTCCGGTAAAAAAAAAAACAGAAAATACTGGAAAAATGTAAAATGTCCGGTACTTTCTGTTTCTCTCAGACAGAAGGCCGGTGGGGACATTCCTCCCTTGCTGCATCTGGCGAGGGCGGGGGGAGCGAGGAGCGTGGAGATATTTAAAGGCGCAGCAATTTTTTTTTTTTTTGGCTTAATCAAATTTTTTTTTCTTGCCATGTTCAGGATTTTTTGTGAAAGTATCTGCCCCTAGCCTTTGCTTAAAGCCAGAATCTTGCCCTCTCTGTCAAGAGAAGAATGAAATGATCTACATTACAACCACCTTTTATTCACTGAGGAGAGGAAGCTGCTAGCAGGCAATCAGAGCCTTTCTAGCTTGTACTTCTTTTGCCGTCTTTGGGTGAGATGAAACGTCTGCTTATCCGTATCTAAAACCATGTCCTACATGTGTTAACAGTAGGTAAAGATGGGCAGAAAACCCATAATCTCTTCTTAAGTAACCCAAGGTAGGGAATGGAGTATCAGATTCTATCCGTATCTAAAACCACATCCTACATGTGTTAACAGTAGGTAAAAATGGGCAGAAAACCCATAATCTCTTCTTAAGTAACCCAAGGTAGGGAATGGAGTATCAGATTTGTGTGAGGCTTTTCACTAGAGAGCAAGTCAGAGTCTTTTTCCCTGGGATCATTAGACTGCTAGCGTGCTGAGACGCCTGCCTGTTGTGCTGATCAATATAATGTCATTGTTTCTTTCTGTTTCTCTGTTACATCTATAGCCATCTGGTTGCTGTCTCTTGTCTTATCCGTAGATTGGAACAGGGACTCTTTTTTTTCCCCTTCTGTGTGCGTACAGCTCCGAGCACAGGAGGGTCCTGATGCAGGCCTCAGGCTTCTAGGCACGCCAGGGCCTTAGTTACATGTCTGTCCAACAGGTATTACTGCTGCTGCTTCCACCGATGAAGCATTTTGAGATCTGCAGAAGAGAAACACTATGTAAGAGCTAAACATTATTGCTATAGATACGGGAAGATGTATTTTTGATGCTAGGCGGTTTGCTACCCAATTGAGATCTAGTGTGTCTTTTTTCCAAGCATGTCATTCCCCCCCCCAATCACTTGTTGCCATGGTAGTCACTGAAGAGCCTTTTACATTCGCACCATTTCTTTTTGGGTCACTTTCTTTGTCTTGTGGCTCATTAAGAGAATTGCCAAATATATTTGAGTTTGGAAAGCTTCCCCTGTAATTTGTTTTCATAGAATAATAGGACTGGAAGGGACCTCGAGAGGTCATCGAGTCCAGCCCCCCGCCCTCAAGGCAGGATCAAGCTCCGTCTACACCATCCCTGACAGATGTCTATCTAACCTGTTCTGTTTTGTCCATAAGCCTCCTGAAGGGGACGCAGATGCTACTGTAGTTTCATCAGGAGGTGTTTTCTGAGGCACAAATAGAAGCTAGGCACCAAACTCCACCTCTGAGATTGTGTGACACTGCCCCCTACAGGACAGAACATTTCAGCCTCAAGCCACCATGTATTCATTTGGAGTGGTCTTGGCCTCTTACGGACTAGTCTAAAAAGAGTATATGAAATGCAAAGAGTTGGATTTGAGGAGACTTAATGTGGAAATTTTCCATGCCCAAAAGCTGTGATGAGACTTAACTCGGGCCCCCTGCGTGCGCATGTACTGTTCTGTGTAGCTTATGGATACTGTTTTTTCATGAGTCACTTCATGACACCTTAAAGTGTCCTATCTTTTTTGGGGGTGTGTGGAAGGGGGGAAGAGGAAGAATAGCTCTGTAGCACCATAGAGACTTTTGATGTCATCTGGATGTTAAATATAATGGCCCATCCAGTTCATGTCTTTGTTCAAACCAGGAGAGATAGTGGCAAATTTGCATATGAAGGCTAGTTCTGCAATCTATTTCTGTAGTTGGTTCCTGAAATTCCATTCTTGCCTTTGGCAATACTAGGGTAAAAAAGGAGAGCTGTTGTTGTGTTTGAGTATGTCATCAAACAAATAAACCCATATTTGAATGTGTGATCTAGCACGTCTCTACTTACATCACATTTTATCATCTTTTGAACTTTCCGTGGTAAGTTGCAGGTGTAGACAATGGCTACAACAAACTCTTCTGGACTAAATGGACTTTTCCCAGTGCCACATTGTGGTGGTGTTTGTTTGTTTATTTGTGTCATCATGGTACCTCGGGTTCTCAGTCACACACCAGGAGCCGATTGTGTGACGCGCGGTGCAAACACAGCGCAAGGTCTATAGAATTTAACATTTTAAAAATCAGGAAAGAGACAAAAAGTGGATACAGGAGCCAGGTGGGGGAGCACAAGGAGATGACAAAAAGTACTGGCTGGCATTGTCCTGGTGAAAAGATTTTCACTGGTTAAAACTGGATTGTAACTGGTTAAGAGATAGGAAACAAGGGGTAGGAATAAATGGCCAGTCTTCAGAATGGAAAGAGGTAAATACTGGTGTCTAGCCAGGGTCCATACAGGAAGCAGTGCCGTTCAATGTATTCATAAGTGACCTGGAGAAAGCGGTAAACTGATGTGTAAACTTCTTTGAGGTTCCCCTTTCAACTCCCTGTTCTTGCCTGTATTCCAGCCCGCTTTGACTCTGAGCTGTCTGAGTTGTGTATCTAATCTATCTGCCCTTCAGGTATCCTACTCCCGTGGTGAGAAGTAACAAATGATAAGGGCTTTGTTGTGATGAGCTGTAGGCTGCAACTCCCTATGTCTTGCTCCCTCCACCCCCCCCAAAAATCTTCATTTTCGTTGTCTTTGTTCTTATTACTTCCTGCACCTTGCTCCCTCCACCCCCCAAAAAAATCTTCATTTTTGTTGTCTTTGTTCTTATTACTTCCTGCATGCAGTATTTAGCTGTCACTGTGAGATCTTGCCAAAAGACATGCAAGAACAAAATATAGGCTCTTCCTTAGAACCAGAAGAAATGTTGAAATCTTGACTGTCTTGAACTCGATTGAAAGACCAGTCGCGAGTAGCATTGCACCTGATCCAAGGCTCGCTAAAGTCCTTGGGAAAAGTTTAAGTTTCTTCCCTACCCCTCTACCATGGAGAACAGCTGTTATTGTGCAATGAGGTGGAGGGCAGGAGTAGAGACCAAAGTCCTCTTCCGTTTTGGAAGGCTGGCGAAAGCCGGTGGAAGGCTGCAGGCTTTGGTGGTTGTGTCACAGAATCACTATGAAAGAATAATGTAACGGTTAAGGACAAGCTCTCCATGTGCTCATAAGAACTCCACCACCTGTTCCCCAGGGGGAGGGTAACCTAGAAAGAATAACATACGTGCTCCCGTACCATAGAGGCTGCAGGCACAGTCCTTGGGAAAGGTGACGCATTGGAATCATTGCAGAGACGTCTCTGAAAACATCCATTCCATGTGCAGCGACCATCAGCAAAGCAAACAGAATGTGGGGACACATTAAGAATCATAGAATCTTAGAATACTAGGACTGGTCATCGGGTCCAGTCCCCTGCCCTCATGGCAGGACCAAATACTGTCTAGACCATCCCTGATAGACATTTATCTAACTTACTCTTAAATAAATATAAGAAGGGATAGAGAATAAGACAGAGACTATCTTATTGCCTCTGTGTAAGTCCGCTTCCCCATTCTTGAGCTGTGTGTGCAGATGTGCTCGCCTCATCTCAAACTAAAAAATCTTGGTGTTGGAAAAAGTTCCGAAAAGGGCAACAAAACTGATTAGGGGTTTGGAATAGCTGCCATATGAGGAGCGATTAATAAGACTGGCACTAGTCTCTTTTCCGAGATGAAGACCAAGGGGGGATATGACAGAGGTCTATAAAATCATGACTGGTGTGGAAAAAGTGAATAAGGAAAAGTTATTTACTTTACTTGTTCCCATAGCATAAGAACTAGGGGTAACCAAGTAATAGGCAGCAGGTTTAAAAAAACAAACAAAAGGAAGTATTTCTTCACACAGTGCACAATCAACCTGAGGAACTCCTTGCCACAGGAGATTGTGAAGACCGGGATTTTAAGAGGGTTCAAAAAAGAGCTACATAAATTCATTGATGGTTATTCGCCAGGACGGGCAGGAATGGTGTCCCTCAGTTTGTTAGAAGCTGAGAATGGGCAATGGGATGGATCACTTGATGATTCCCTGTTCTATTCATTCCCTCTGGGGTGCCTGGCATTGGCCACTGTTAGAAGACAGGATACTGGGCTAGATGGACCTTTGATCTGACCAAGTACAGCCATTCTTATGAGAATGGATAGCATTCTAACCACTTTCTTGGCCAATGCAGGAATGGCCTTGATCTATTTCATAGCCCCCGTTCTCATTTGAAAGAACAGCTGGCATGAGATGGGAGAGTGAGGTTGAGAGCCTCAGATGATGGAAAGTTCCACAAATGGATATACTCGGGGAGAGAGAGGTTGAACTCCAAGAACAGGCTCGGTTGATACATTGCCTCTTAGAACTAAACTGATTTTTTTTCCCACAGGCCCAAGAACGGTGGGAAATATTGCGTGGGTCGTCGAATGAAATTTAAATCCTGCAACACTGAACCATGCTCTAAACTAAAGAAAGACTTCCGAGATGAGCAGTGTGCTGACTTTGATGGGAAGCATTTTAACATTAACGGTCTACCTCCTAATGTGCGTTGGGTTCCTAAATACAGTGGAAGTGAGTATGTCACGACTTTAACGTCAGCCTCTTGGCAATGGCTGCACAAGGGAATGGAATGAAGATAACACGATCTTTGGCTTTTTCAGTTTTAATGAAAGATCGGTGCAAGTTGTTCTGCAGAGTAGCAGGAAACACTGCCTACTATCAGCTCAGGGACCGAGTTGTGGATGGTACCCCTTGTGGCCCAGATACAAATGACATCTGTGTGCAAGGACTTTGTCGGGTAAATATTTCTTTCTGCTGTTTAACGGCCTTTTTTTCATGTTTATATTTCAAAGCTCAGTTCTCTAGCCCACTTGCACATTCTTCACACCATGCACAGTCAACCTGTGGAACTCCTTGCAGGAGGATGTTGTGAAGTCCTGAGGCATATCAAGGAAGTCCTATTGTCATGGTCATATGCTCTGTGATGAATTTTCAGAGGGCTCAGTGCTCCCAACAAGGGCTAGATTTTCCAGAGACCTCAGCAACTGCTTTGGCACCTTAAGCAATGGCCGGATTTTCAACACTGAACTCTTTGAAAATCTGTCCATAAGTGTTGCAGTTTCTGGGTGCTGAACACTCTTGAAATCTGAATCCAATTTTGAGCACATGAAAAATCTAGCCCTGTGCTCTTTTGAAAGTCTGACCTGCTGGAATTTTTCACAATAATTTTAATGCTATTCTACTTTAGCTGAGAATAACCTAGTCGAGAGTGACTCAGTGTCTCCCCAAATGGAAGCTCCCTTGTACACAGGGCAATTTTTCAATGGGACAACATTGCCATCTTTTTCTTCTTCTAGCCATGGCTCAGTCGCAGGCAGAAAAATGAAATTCCTTGATGCTAAGTCTTCTTTGGGAATGAGCATGCATTCTTTGGGAATGAAGTACAATAAACAGTCATCTGAAGAAGTGGGTTGTACCCATGAAAGCTCATGAACATATCTGCATGTTTTGTTAGTCTTTAAGGTGCTGCTAGACCAGTGTTTCTTAAACTTTTTAAGACCGAGGAACACCAAACAATTTTTTTATGGGGAACACCGAGGACTTTTTGTTTAGCAAAAAAAAAGGAGGCTTGCCCCTTTAAGGGTGGCCATTTGTTCTCTCTGCAACACTTTTGAACTCTGTTCTCTCTGCAACACACATCCGACTGCCTTGTGGCACACTGGTGTGCCACGGAACACACTTTAAGAAACATTGTGCTAGACTGTTGTTTTTTAAGTTTTTCCAGTTACAGACTTACTTGGCCACCCCTTTGAAGCTAATAAACTGTGAAACAAAGGGTAGGAATAAATGGTAAATTTTCAGATTGGAGAGGGGTAACTAGTGGTGTACCCCAAGGGTCAGTCCTGGGACCAATCCTTTTCAACTTATTCATAAATGATCTGGAGAAAGGGGTAAGCAGTGAGGTAGTAAAGTTTGCAGATGATACCCAACTGTTTAGGATAGTCAAGACAGAAGCAGACTGTGAGGGACTCCAAGAAGATCTCACCAAACTGAGTGATTGGGCAACAAAATGGCAACTGAAATTTAATGTGGATAAGTGTAAAGTAATGCACATCGGGAAAAATAACCCCAACTATACGTACAGTATGATGGGGGGTAATTTGGCTACGACAAATCAGGAAAGGGATCTTGGAGTTATCGTGGACAGTTCTCTGAAAACTTCCACGCAGTGTGCAGTGGCGGTCAAAAAGGCAAATAGGATGCTAGGGATTATTAGGAAAGGGATAGAAAATAAGACCCAGAATATCTTACTGCCCCTGTATAAAACTATGGTACGCCCACATCTTGAATACTGTGTACAGGTGTGGTCTCCTCACCTCAAAAAAGATATTTTGGCTTTGGAAAGGGTTCAGAAAAGGGCAACTAAAATGATTAGGGGTTTGGAACGGGTCCCATATGAAGAAAAGTTAAAATGACTGGGACTGTTCAGTTTAGAGAAGAGGAGACTGACGGGGGATATGATAGAGGTCTATAAAATCATGAGTGGTGTGGAGAGGGTGAATAAAGAAAAGTTAGTTATTAGTTCCCATATTAGAAGAACTAGAGGACACCAAATGAAATTAATGGGTAGCAGGTTTAAAAGTAATAAAAGAAAGTTCTTCTTCACACAGCATGTAGTCAACCTGTGGAACTCCTTGCCAGAGGAGGCTGTGAAGGCTAGGACTATAACAGAGTTTAAAGAGAAGCTAGATAATTTCATGGAGGTTAGGTCCATAAAAGGCTATTAGCCAGGGGATAGAAATGGTGTCCCTGGCCTCTGTTTGTCAGAGGCTGGAGAGGGATGGCAGGAGACAAATCGCTTGATCATTGTTTTCGGTCCACCCTCTCTGGAGCACCTGGTGCTGGCCACTGTCGGCAGACAGGCTACTAGGCTAGATGGACCTTTGGTCTGACCCAGTACGGCCATTCTTATGTTTTTATGTTCTAACTGTTGTAGTGTTGCATGATGCAAACTCCACATTTGATTACAGTGAGTCCTTGTCTTTTCAGAACCTCTGCTTAAAAACCAGCCATAAGTAGGGATGTTAACCATTAACTGCTAAGAATAACAGGAAGTCTTGTGCTTACCAGTCTGCTTACTGGTTAACCAGCCCTTGCCTCTTAGCGTGACTAGCTGCCACCAGAGTTGGAGTAGAGCATCCCAGCTGCATTGGGTGGTGCAGACTTGGCCATGGGACGTAGGTTAAAACGGTTCATCGGTTAAGCACTATCATTAAAATGGTTACCCAAACATCCTTACGGGTAAAATGGTTACACTCTAAATTATGTGGAAGAGAGGGGGAAATCGTTTGGCAGTGGTCTTTGTATACAGGTGGTTAATATGATTCAATTAGGAGAGTTGTAAATTCTGGCCTATTTAACATTTGCTCGATCCAATTTTTCAACTTTTTCCCTTAAAGCAAGCTGGCTGCGATCACGTGCTCAATTCAAAGGCAAGAAGAGACAAATGTGGTGTTTGTGGTGGCGATAACTCTTCATGCAAAACTGTCGCGGGCACATTCAATACTGTGCATTATGGTAAGACTCCGTCACCAAAACGGTACAGAGAAAAATGCAAGGCTATCAATGCATTAACCACATACAGTCTGTGAAAATGCTCATTCATGTAAACCGCAAAATCCTTCCAAGTGTGGCAGAATCTAGTCTCTAATGATTTATGCTACCTTTAAATGAAAAATTTGGTTTGTGCAATGCCTGGTCATTTAAAAATTTTAAAAGATTTCCCTCCGGCCATACAAAATGCATAGGAATGGGCGGCAGAATAGTTTTGACATTTCTGCTCCATTGTTTTAGGCTATAACACCGTGGTACGCATACCCGCTGGTGCTACAAATATTGATGTGCGGCAGCACAGTTACTCAGGGAAACCCGAAGACGATAACTACCTTGGTAAGTTGTAATGCCCGTTAGAGTGCCGAGACACGTGCTATTTACACGGGTTCTTTCTCAACTAAGGACTATTTCATTTTCACGGTCAAAGATAGGCACAGGACAGCTCCCAAACCGACTAGCCTTCCTTTTGCTTCATCTCTCCATGTCCCTGGATACTTACAAAGTTCTCATGCTAGTGGTACAGTTGTACCTCCCTTAACTGGGACTTTCTGGTCCAGCAACATCCATGGTCTGGCAGGACCAGGGATGTCCCTGGACCACAGAGACCAGGTATAGGGAGGTCGGGCCATAGGGCAGGCAGCAGTGACTCAGGGGGAGACGTGAAGGGGCAGGCAGTGAAGGCAGGGGAGCCACGGCCGGGCAGGTGGCAGCGGTGCCAAGCCGGAGCCCTAGCAGGAGGCAGGAGTTCAGCACAGGCCATGCTGGGAGGGACCTCCACTGGTCTGGCAGATCCCCTCCTTCAGGACCAGTCAGGCTCTGTTCCCCATAAGTGAGTGGGCGGAGCCACCTTTTCCCTCCCTGTGAGTGGGTGGAGCCATGCCAAGCAGAGCTGGCCAGGCCTGAACGGGGAAGTGAGCTGAAAGCAAGAGGAGGTTCAGAGACGTTGAGTCCCGTTTGCTGCCCCTGAGGCCTTGAGTTTACTGAGAGCAGAGCCAAAAGGCTCAATCTAGAGTGATATGCTAAAGAAAATAAATGGCGTGATGGTGGTCTGCTCAGTTTTAAAGTTTAGAAGATACATTTCCTTTGCTGTCAGTAGAAAATCTTGCTGATGAGAATACCGTGCGGGGAAAGGAAATACCAAATCAAGTGAATCATTTGGGCCCTGATCCTGACAGTTGATCCATGCATGTAGACCTCTGAGCTCCCGTAGGATCCAGCTGAGTGGATTTGCTACTTTATATGGCCCCAATCCTGGAATTCTACCCTTTTATACATCGAGAAACCCTGTGGCACCTTAGAGAGTAACAAAGGATGTTAAGGTGCCACAGGACTACTCGTTTTTAACGTTACCAACTCACACGGCTCCCCCTCTGAGACCTTTTACATATCACTATTATTTTATGTCGAAATCCATTATGAACGCAAGTGTCTGTTGAAACAAAACAGGATTAATGTGCAAGATTCGATACCCAAGCGAACTGTAAAACGTTCCAAACACTTCATGTCTTTCTCCAGCTGGAGAGATTCCTCCCTCGTCTCTTTCCTAGAAAAATAATCTTCTGTATTCAGAGCCGTCTACCCTGTGCCGGCCCCCGTGCCCAGAATAACCTCTGAGTTCTTTCTGGAGGGCTTTAATCTTCTTGAGAAGCATGAAGTCAAATCCTTTTTTAATGTTGCAGGGTAGTGTATATTAGGCCCACATAAAAGCAAAGAGAAAGTGTGCATGTGTCCACTCATTTTGCAGTTCACTGAGTGTGAAATCGTAGGCTCTGGATAGTGTGACTCTTGTAGTAGTTACATAACAATTTAGGAGGAATTTGATGTTGTCATCAAGTTTCGGATGTCTAAACGGCCTCCCCTATTATAGTAGGAACTTGCAAGAAATGGAATGGATTCCTTTAATGTGTCATCTTGCTGCTTAGCAGCGTAAAAGCATAAGGAATTTGGCTGGGGCTGTACCTAACATTGCATTTTGCAGCTTTCCTTTGGCCATGGATGTGTTAGCTTCTGTGCAGTCTTTTTTGCTGTGTTCTCTCTCCTAGCTCGGTTTCAAACACTCCTTCCATGTTTTGATGGGAGCGTTGGGTTTTTACAGTAGAGAGCCTTTGTAGTAATGTAGCTGTGATGGGTGAAATGGTGGGGAAACTAACTTAGGAAATTAGCTACATAATCGCATTAGTGTGAAGTTGTGCAGCAGACTGCTGTTTGCAGGAAACGGTTCCTTTTATAAAGCAGTTAAGCTTTAAGCCTTTCGTGCTTTTGCATACCTCAAAATCTGGAATAAAACAAAAGAAAGGAAAAAGACGCTGGCCGGACTTCTTTGAATTGTCCATTGGAAAGTGAAATCCAGGCAGCTAAATTATACGGCACCAGCCTACCCCGGGCCTGAATGCAGGATGAAAAGTTTCTATAGCCTGACAACATTTACCGCTAACAACCTTGCCCAGCCGTATCTGGGTAATTCTTTGGTTGCAATATTTGGGGTGCAGTTGACATGCACTTTTTAAAGAAACGGTGTTCGCCAAGCTGTCTCCTCTTTTTGCCCCACCACCTGTGCCCTGGAGTTAGGTTCACCTGCAGCATTCTGCCTTGCTGCTAACAAGGCTTGGGGCCAGTTTAGGGCCTGCTTAAACTGCGGCTGGAAAATCCTCCCACAACCAGGCAGACCCACGTTAGCCCTCTAAACAGCGCAGCGTAGCCATGTTGGCAAGGGAGCCAACAGCCACGCTGGGTCCCTGGGCAAGGTGTGAGGGAGGCGCTGTGCTCCAAGAAGGGGCGTGGCCTCAGGTGGCAGGGGCGGAGCTACAGCCGCCAGCACCACCCAGACCAATATGTCCACCCCCAGCACGGCCTGAAGCACGCCACATGGCACCCCCGCCTCCCCCTAAGAGGAGCGCACAGCGCACCAGTGGCAATTTAAAGGGCTCAGTGCTTTGGGTGGAGCAGCAGCCAGAGGCCCAGGGGCCTTTGAATATTGGGCTCCAGGGCAGTTGCCCTCTTGCACCCCCTGTCAGCGGGCCTGCCCTGTGTATGCCCCTGTAGCCTCAGCTAGGGTTGTATGCACCACAGGGAGCTGACGGAGCCTTTCCCTGCGGCCTTCCCAGTAATTGGGGGGAAGTTTCCAGCCGCTCCATGTGCCTGAAAAGGCTGTAGGATACAGTGCTGCGACAAACAGCAGTATAGGTGGTGGGGCATTGTTTCGGCACACGAAGGCCCATGCTGCCCTGTGTATGCCCCTGTAGCCTCAGCTAGGGTTGTATGCACCACAGGGAGCTGACGGAGCCTTTCCCTGCGGCCTTCCCAGTAATTGGGGGGAAGTTTCCAGCCGCTCCATGTGCCTGAAAAGGCTGTAGGATACAGTGCTGCGACAAACAGCAGTATAGGTGGTGGGGCATTGTTTCGGCACACGAAGGCCCATGCAGGGCCATACATTGTCTGTGCGCTGCACGCCGCTGTCAGGGGGTTCGGCGTAGTGATCTCCTAGGGCGGAGCTGTGGTACATCACAGTACCCACGGCAGGTGTACCCACCACCGAGCAGATTCGAACCTGGGACCTCTGGTGCTTAGTGTCAGAGCCTCCACGCAGCTTGAGCTAAAAGCCAGTTGGCTCTCAGCTATGGCTGTGGAGCTCCCTTGTTCTCTCTGGTTGTAAGTGGTCCAAGTGCCACTCCATGGGACAGGGACCCACACGAGGTGTGTGGGTTACACAGGCACTATGTGCGTATTGCCCCTGTCCTCAAGCCCCTCTTCCGCGGGAGAACCCATGGGCTTTCCTGCAGGAGGCTGTACAGGATCTCTCCAAAATAATTCAGTGGCTCCAAGGCCACCTGGGCCCACTGTGATCATCTTGCCCGACCTGCTGTGTCAGGCCAGCCGGAGAACTGCCCCCGGATAACTCCTAGCGCAAAGCTTTTAGAGACTCCCCCACTACTGGGTTTCAAATCCAAGATGCCATTGTGGGCTAGCACCTCGCCGGCCCTGAGAGCTTCTCGGGGCAGCGGCTGTCGGGAAGCTGTGGCCGTTCCAGCCCCTGGTGCGTTAGGACAAGCGGGTTCTTCTCAGGGGGGGGCCGGTCCTCTTGGGGGTCACAGCCCAGGGCGCAAGTGAGGAGGCGAGGCCTGTCCCGCCGATTGCTCCACATCCCTTCCCTGGACAACTCCAGCAGCTCCCCACTTCCCAAAAACCCCTTGTTTTGCAGAGCTTGAAATAAGGATTTTCAATGAAAAAATCGCAAAAGCTGCAAAAATGTATCGCTGCCTTGACTTGCCTGGCCCTGCAGCAGGGCAATGTCTCCTGCTTGGGGGCCTGATCCCACAACACCCGGAACCTCTCTCTGCTCCCACTGATAGTAAGCCTGGCCCATAGTTTTGGAAATACCATCTCAGCTCCTGGAAATCAGAGGAGCTCCCAAGAAATCAGTGTGGCTTCACCACTTTCTATCAGCAGAGGGTCTGGCCCCATAGTTTTAATATGTATGTATATGGGACCTCAAATAAAGTGCTTGCTTAGATGTGCATGAGTTACCTGTGGAACTTCTTGCCATAGGATGTTGTGAAGACTAGGATTTTAACAGGGTTCAAAAAAGAGCTAGGTAGATTCATGAAGGTTAGGTCCATCAATGGCTATTAGCCAGGATGGGTAGGAACGGTGGCCCTAGCCTCTGTGTATCTGGAAATGGGTGACAGGGGAGGGATCACGTGATGACTACCTGTTGTAATCCCTTCCTCCAGGGCCTCTAGTGCTGGCCACTGTCGGAAGACAGGACACTGGGCTAGATGGACCTTTGGTCTGACCCAGTACGGCCGTTCTTATGTACTGACATGAGTTTTTACATCTCTTCTGCAGCATTATCCAACAGTCATGGAGCCTTCATCTTGAATGGAGACTTTGTCGTCAGTATGTTTAAAAGGGAAATCAAAGTTGGGAACGCTGTGATTGAGTACAGTGGCTCAGACAATACAATCGAAAGGATCAATTCAACGGAGCGCATTGAACAAGAAATTGTTCTTCAGGTAATGTACTTTTCCTTCACGTAAATGCAGCCCCACTGGGTTTTTTTGGCATGAAAACAGCACCGATATTGGTGGGCTACCATTCACCCGAATGTATCTGTGTTTTCCCCAGATTCTGTCGGTGGGTAATTTGTATAACCCGGATGTTCGATACGCATTCAATATCCCGATTGAAGACAAACCTCAGCAATTTTACTGGAACATCTACGGCCCCTGGCAAGCCTGCAGTAAACTTTGCCAAGGTGTGCACTTCGGTGTATTTTCATGTCGGTCATGGCATTTTCTGGATTTTGGTGGGGGTGACAAATGCATTTTCGTGTACTTTCCATGAGCTTCTATATGGCACGAGGTGGCTTGTTTGTGAGAGCTTTAGAAGTAGAATGATCTAGGCTGCCTTATGCCAGCGGATAATGTATAGCACTATTCTAGCACTTCTCATCAAAGTGCTTCCCAAACATTCACTCACTGTGCCTCATCACAACCTTGGCAGGTGGGGATATGTTGCAAGGGGAAACTGAGGCACCAGGCGTTTCCATTCCCAGAGCTGCAACGGGGGTCCATCTCAGAGCTGGGGTTAGCATTTAAGAGGATCTGTCTCAGTACCTCTCTACACTCACTCTCTCTCTCATTCCCCAGTTGTACCAAAGTCCATCTAAACAAGCCAGGTCCTTTTCGAGGTCACCCCGGTACTATTTAACTCCACTTTTGCAGAGATCAAATAGATTTTTTTCAGAGCCCATATGAATTATTTTTAAGAAGCTATTTTGACATCATGCGCAGAGAGGAAATAGACTGGGTCACTTTCCTGTCTGTCATCACACACGTATTCTTTTTTCTATTTAGGGGAACGAAAAAGGAAACCCATTTGTACCAGGGAATCTGACCAGCTCATGGTGTCCGATCAAAGATGCGATCGAATCCCCCAACCTGATCCAGTGACTGAGCTTTGTGGCACAGAATGTGAATTAAGGTGCACGCTACTCAGTCATGCATATACGTTAACAGCTTCTGTTTATAGCCTCGTCTTCTTTCCTTTTACTGTCTTTTGTGGTTCCTTGTTTCTCAGAGATCTACGCTAGCTGACAATAACCTTGCTCTTGTAGTCTGCTGACGAGTTGGATTCTGCTGCTGTCGGCCGAGCGTTAATGCTGCTTGCTGGCTTCCTTAAGGCAGGGACACGTTTTGCTCTCTTCACCTCAGCTTTCTGTGGTGAAAGAAGCACTAACTATAAGGGCTATGTCCATTATTTGATGCTGTGAAATGTAGAAACACAACACAAATGCCTGTGATTCCTATTCTGACCTGTCCAGGAAGGCTGAGAACTGCATGGCCATTGTGTCTTTCCAGAAGCAGCAATCTGCAGTTGTAAAAATAAATGCATCAATAAAAGTAAGCCCAAATCCAGCAAAGCAACTAATGCATGAGCCTCGCTTTAAACATGTGAGTTGTCCTCCTGGAATTAATGGGGCTACTTGTCAGCATGTGCTCAAGTGTTTTGCTGGATCAAGGCCTTAGCCAAAGAACTGCCTGTGAGGTATATTTTTGAATACAGGTTGTACCTCTCTCATCTGACGTTCTTTGGTCCAGCAACATCTGTGGTCCGGTATGATTTTCGTGAGCTGGATGCCCACTTATGATGGGTGTAGCCATGATTCCCGTGGTCCTATAAAGTTTTACAGCCACCAGTCCTGGCTCTCAGTGTTCTGTGCTGTTCTTTAGCTCTAGTTTACCTCTAAATGTCTTCTAATAGCCCAGTGAGCCGTGGAAGTGTTGGTAATGCTGCTAGACAATATTGACCTCCCATGGTTTGGCAAATTCTCTGGTTTGACAACAGTTGGGTACTGAGGGGGACAGACTAGAGAGATTCATCCTTTACTTACGAGTATAGTGTGGAGAAAATTGTGTGAACAAAACCCTGTTTCCAAAAGAGCCATTATTTCACCTGTATCACCTTTTTGCTTTCAAACTCAATGGGAAGGGGGAGGTGTTAAGCGGCTGCTATGAGCCAGTTTAGTTTTTATCTAGGCTTCCAACTGAAAATGGGCTGGTTCTCTCCCACCTCTGTAGATTGGGCCGTTGGGATAACAGCTAAGAGGTTAGTAGCGCCAGAGAGGGAACTAAAAGTTGGGAAAAGGTTAACCACTCAGGGTATGTCTACACAGCAAAGGTGTTTCGAAATAACACCAGTTATTTTGAAATAACTTTCCTAGCATCTACACAGCCATTCCGTTATTTTGAAATTAATTCAAAATAGCAGCGGGCTTATTTCGGAATTGGTCAACCTCCTTCCACGAGGAATAGTGCCAATTTCAAAATTGCTATTTCGAAATAAGCGCTGTGTAGACCTTAATAAGCGCTCCAGCCCTTCCCAGGGTGCCCTGCTGACCGCCCTGGCCACAAGATAACTTCTGACCTGATGCCTTGATGAAGCTGGTTCCAACCAGCCTTAAATCAAGATTTCTGCATTCAGAAATTGTGAGAAATCAAGAACTGAAGGGTGAAGAAAAACCCCACCATTCTCCGTTGAATTGTTTTAATTTTTGCAGCACTGCCTGTGGGTAATAAAACGCTTCCCTGGCAAATGTCGGGATCGGAGTGCCACCAGCTGAGAGCAAGTGCTTTTCAATCCCTGGTATAACTCTTTCTTCATATCATGCATCTTGTAACAGGGCATAAGTTCCTCAGTTCCACCCTAGAGGGCTGCAAGATTGACTAAGGCATACTGCTCCCTGGAATTACATTTGATATATGCCTCATGCCAGTACAATGCATTTGATGCCATGATTTTGGAAAGCTTTGGGGTTTCTTAGGCTGGCAAATAGTCCAGGTATCAGAACCAAGGCCTAAAATCTAGCAAATCCTGAAGTCTAATCCTTGCTCTGCCACTGACTCTGTGACCTTGGGTGTGTCACTTAAACTCATTGCCTTGGTTTTCCCAGCTGAAAACAAGAAGCTGATAATACATATATATGTACATCCCAGGAGCAATGCAAGGAGTAATTAGCTCATGTTTTAGAGAACTCTTTGAAGAGGCAAATTGTTGGGTGGTGGGGTAACGAGTTAAAAGTCTGCATAATGAAAGTACATACATTCCTCATTTGTGTAACATGATACTAACTGTGTTACACATGCAGGATACTAAAAACCAGCTATCCTTTCTCCTTCCGCCTTTCCTCTCGAAACCAGGTGTATTTTCTGTACTCTTCCTGCCTTTCTAATACAGACAGCATCAAACTGGCCCAGTTACTGACGGTGGGTTTTGGTGGGGGTTTTTTTTGCTGCCCAGGTGGCATGTTGCTAGAAAGAGCGAGTGTGCCGCTCAGTGTGGGCTGGGATACCGAACACTGGAGGTCTACTGCACGAAGTACAGTCGGTCGGAAGGGAAGACGGAAAAAGTCGACGACCGGTTCTGCAACGGCCAAGCCAAGCCAAACACTAGGGAGAAGTGCTTTGGCGACTGTAATGTCGGAGGATGGCGGTATTCAGCCTGGTCAGATGTAAGTCTGAGTGGTGACAAGCCTGTGTATTCTGGATAGCTGTCAATCAAATATTGAAGGGGGCAGGCACTTGGCCAACATGACCTAAGGAATCAAAGTACTTTTGGCCAGTGCCTGGCAGTTCTCTGCTGTCGCGGCCAAGGTGTTCAGCTCCGCGCTGTTGTTGCTTTGAAGCCCCCATCATGCATTCGAGTCAGTCTACGGTCACTCAGTCCTGCCTAGATCCCTCCTCGGGAGGAGCTGTTCTGGGAAACGGGCAGCTATAAATAGCACGTGGAACTGGGAGACGGTGACGTTTATGCTGATTTTTTTCCAACGTGTTCTCTCAGGCAGGAGAAGCTCAAAGCTGCCCAGTAACCGCCGTGGCTTTTGGCATTCCTCCGACAGAAGTGCTGGAACAGTTTGGATCGGGGGGGCTGAGCACCACTGAACCAAACTGGGAACCCTGTATTCAGTGGAAAGCCCTTCAAATTTTGGGGTGCAGCAGCATCCAGCTTTCTCCCCCTGCTCCCCTCCCCGCATCCTTACTTCCAGCACCAATGTCTGTAGACAGATCTTGGCCTTACTTGGCCTTACGTACAGCTGCTCGTGCCATCTGTAAGAGTGTTTGCGCGCAGCCGGAGCAGGCAGGCTGACACAAAGCTGGGATTTGGTTTCATGGCTGTGTTGTGAAGGAGCACTACTTTAAAAAATGCGAGGCAGTCTGATCTTTTACCACGTTGGCATTCACACATCTTGTGGCCACATAACGTGCCCAAGGAGTGTAAAGTCATCTTGGAATAAAGGGTAGAGACTGTAAAACAAAGATAGGGAATCTACCCCCCGGCGGATGGATGCGGCCCCCAGCTTGCCTGGATCTGGGCGCCCAAGGCTCAGGGCTCCCCCATCCAACATTGGGGAGCCCAGGCTGGCGCGCCAGTCCTGCAAAACCCTCAGCCTAGCCTGCTGATACATCCCCACTCTGCTCCTGTATCGTCCCTCCCACTCCCAGCCTGCTCCCGCACCTTACCACCCTCAGATCTTCCAAGCCTTCTTCCTGGCAACTCCCTCCCACACACCGAACCCTCATTTTTGGCCCCATCCCAGAGCCTAGAGGGGCCCATAAAACCTAATAGCCCAGGCCCCCCTAGGCTCTGGCGTGTGAGAGGAATGTGTGAAGTGTCTTTCTGCTCCTCAATGGGGGGGGGGGGGGTCATATTAGTGAGAGGTTTTTGGTTTTTTGAGGGGGGGTTACTTCTCATTTTTGTGCGGCCCCCAACTGATTTCTCTGTGGGTTAGTGGCCCCCGAACGAAGAACAGGTTCCATACCCCTGCAGTAAAACAAGGGTTGGGCTAGAGAAATGAAATCGGGCCACTGCTGTTTGCCATTTCTCATCATGCGAGTACAAAAAGACACGAGCTGAATAAAATTGAAAGGCAGCCAATTTAAAACTGATCATGGAATTCTCAACCCACAATATAACCTGTGGAACTCATTGCCACAATATACGATTGTGTTTTGAAAGATTTTTAAAAATGACTGTATCGGGGATTCAGACCTCTGTACTTCTGGTCAAAACCGGCCATCCGGGATTAGGAAGAACCTTGCTCTGTGAGGCAGCTTTTCTGCAGTTGTTCTTTATGGGATTTCTTGCATCTCCTGTTGAGGCAGCTAGGTCAGGTTACAGGACCAGCTAGGGGCTTGTTGCCATGTTTACGGAGCGTCTCTTTCTTCCAGTGCTCGAAGAGTTGTGGCGGCGGCACGAGGAGACGGCGCGCCATCTGCGTGAACACCCTCAACGACGTCCTGGACGACAGCAAATGCAGCCAGCAGGAGAAACTCATTGTGCAGCGCTGCAGTGACTTCCTGTGTCCCCAGTGGAGAACAGGCGACTGGTCGGAAGTAAGCGTCCGCTGGTTTAAAACCCGAAAGGGGAGCTCCATGCGGCTCAAGAGGTTTTGTCTCTTTTACCGATAGAAGTCGGTCCAATAAAAGCTATTCCCATCCCTCCCCTGCCTCGTGTAGCTCATATCCCAGACCCCACGTGACTACTGCAGCACGGCACTTTGTAGTCAGCCTAGCCAATACCTGGCTTCTAAAACCTGATTCTTTTCCATTGAAACCACTGGGGGGGCGGTGGGAAAGGGGCGTGAAGGGTTTGGGGCTGACTGTGCTCTGTAGGGGCTCTCCACAACCCCGCCCATGGGAAAAGTTGGGAGCCAGGCTATGAGGGTGGGGAAACGGCGCCGTTGGCCCTATGACCCCAGACCCACTGGCCATTCTTCTCTTTACTGGTCGACCCTCCCTTGTTCCGGCACTCTGCCTGGTCCCGAGATGCAGAATTTGCCGGACAAGGCTCCCTACCCGGGTGTAGGGCTCCGCTCCCGGCGGGCCCTGAGCTTCCTGCCGCCTGCCCCACTGCACCCAGCGACCCCCTCACCGCGCCAGCCCTGGACAGAGGCCACCCTGCTGCCTCCAGCCCCTGCCGGACCAGAGAGTCCCGGATTTTAGAGGTCCAAACTGTACCTGCGATAGGGTATTGAGGCATTACTGCAGCTCTTAGGGGCTGGAGGCATGCGGAGAAGGGGGGCTTTCTGCCCTGGCCCCACCCCTTCCACCTGAGGTACCACCCCTTCCTGGAGGGCAGAGCTGCCTCCCCCCACCTTGCACAGGGGCAGGCTTGTCAGTTAAAGACACGCCTCTAGGAAAACAATTGGTGGCTCTTTGCAGCAGGTCTCTGGTCCATTTTTAATATCCTGAGGAGATTCCCAGCCGGTGCCTGCCCCCCAGCGAAGGCTCTGACCCCGCGTCTGACTTACTCCTTGCAGTGCTTGGTCACCTGTGGGAAAGGGCACAAACACCGCCAGGCTTGGTGCCAGTTCGGAGAAGATCGATTAAACGACAGGTTTTGTGCCCCGGAGACGAAGCCCGAGTCTGTGCAGACCTGTCAGCACCAGGAATGTGCCTCCTGGCAAGTAGGGCCGTGGGGAGACGGTCCGCTCCTGGTATGAAGGGACTGGCGGGCGACATGGCGTTTGTGTTTGTACTAGATTAGCCAAGAGTTTCCAAAATCGGTTTCCAGGCTTCAACGCCGAAGGCCGTATTTAGGCACCTAAATAACCACACTTCCCACTCTGACACGGTGCTCAGCATCTCAAAGCAGGTTACCAAGGAGGTTAGGACCACTGCCTGCATTTTACAGATGGAGAAACTGAGGTAAAAGGGGGCATGGCGTTTGTGTTTGTACTAGATTAGCCAAGAGTTTCCAAAATCGGTTTCCAGGCTTCAACGCCGAAGGCCGTATTTAGGCACCTAAATAACCACACTTCCCACTCTGACACGGTGCTCAGCATCTCAAAGCAGGTTACCAAGGAGGTTAGGACCACTGCCTGCATTTTACAGATGGAGAAACTGAGGTAAAAGGGGGGATGGGATTTGCCCAACGTCATCCAAGAGTTGGTCTGGAGCCCAGCTGCCCTGCTCTATCCACTAGGCAGCATTCCCTCCTTTTAATAATAAGCAGCCTGATTTCATAAGTGCAGTTTCCATTGGCTTTAGGCAGCCCTTTTTCAAACTCTTGCATTAATCTCTGTGGTATGTTTCGCGTTAATTTTCAGAGAGGGAAAATAAGCCATCTGTGCTAACGCCTTCCAGAGAATTCTGCTGCCTTGATTTCCCCCCGCAGCTGTAACTTTTCATGAGTTAGTTCTTTAAAGGAAAAAAGAAAGTTAGCTGGACCACACAAATTACTGACCGGCATCATGCCTTTCATTCACAGTCATGGTATGTTACTGGAAGTTTGCACAGCCTGTATGTAAAGCAGTGTGACAGGGATTATACTAAATTCATATCCCACCAAATGGGAAATCATTTAAACACTCATCCATCCATATTTGAAGAGGATAAATGAAGCATGCAGGGTTCCGACGGAAACAGTGAATTAAGTTTGACCTAATTTTAAGTGGAAATGACTGAAGTAGAAGAAACTGGCTTCTTTTTTTTTTAACTTTTGGTGGATGTTATGAGAGAAATGATGCACTCCAAATACACTCCCCCTGCTTAATATTTTCCAGGTCAAATCTATATTCAGTCATATGCACGTGTTTGTCTTATTTTTTCCCCCTTCCCAGTGCACAGTGACTTGTGGGCAGGGCTACCAGATGAGAGCGGTGAAGTGTGTCGTGGGGGCCTATGTGTCAGTCGTGGACGACAATGAGTGTAACGCTGCCACCAGGCCGACGGACACGCAGGTAAAACGTCACACTTGGCTTCCTCTCTTGTTCCCTTCCTCGCCTGGCCTCTTGCAGGTGGAGAGAAATAAGTCTGCCTTTCCTCACAATAACTTGGGCCCAGCTTAGGAAATCAGTACTGAGCACTGCTCTTTTGAAGGCCCATGGGCCGGAGTCCTTGCTGGTGTCAATCAGCGTAGCTTTCGGAGTTCAGTGGAACAGTGTTAATTTACGCCAGTCCAGGCTATAATGACCACACTGCAATGGGTCACCTGCAGCTAGCCCGTGGCAGCTGTCGCAGGTTCACAGGGTTATGGGCCTCTTGAATTGAGGTGTAGACGTTTAGGCTATGTCTACACTCACGGCTTCTTGCGCGAGTAATATGCAAATGAGGCTATGCGTGGAATATCGCCGAGCCTCATTTGCATACCTAATGAGCCACCGTTTTTTGCAGAAGAGGCTCTTGCGCCAGAAGGAGCATCTACACTGCCCCTTCTTGCACCAGAAAACCCCTCTTGCGCAATGCCGCT